TGCTTTTGGTTGGGACTGTCCTGTTTTAAGTGGTCTATTTGACATTCGCTACCAGTTGTCATTTAGTGGTTTGATCACTTGTGCTTAACCCGGTACTTATAGGACGGTTCTGTCTATTATAGTAGCTTAGAGCCGGCTAAATGTCTCAACCCAGCTGAAGCACCTGAAGAGGGCGACTAGTCGACTGAAACTGTCGCCCTGACCTTTGGTTTTCGAACGTAAGAGTCTAGATTTTGTTGACAAGGTTGAGTATTCTTGTTCTACTTACTAATCACAAGTAGCTGTGTTGGTGAGTACTGTTGCCATTATCGTGTTCAGCAGTCTTTGTTCCACTTCTGGGAGAGCGCTGGTGGAGGCCGGAGGGAGGGGTAGGTAATAATATGTTAATCAGGACAACTGCGGTATTGGATTAGAGCATTTTTGAAGTGCGAGTGGATCTCAGTTCGGTGCCACCTGATGTCCGGCAAACAAGTTTACGGGGTTTTATCATACCTGTTGTAATGCATAGGGGATGGATGGTGTGGAGACTGCAAGGTGTATCTGGGTCCGTTAGAATGTGAAGTTAATTTGCTTGTCTTCCTTGTTCCCTGAGATTTCATACTCAGCCCCAGTTGTCCACTGCTTTTGGGATAACTTTACAGTCCCAATCTGTTAAACTATCGCAAATATGTTGGACTTCCGGTAACAGTTTGCGGTCAATCTTGAAGAAAATGCTTTCGGAAGGATACGTCTGGATTGGTTAATTTGAAATTTGATGACTTGTCAACGCTATCGCAGTGGTGATTGACTTACAATCATTGTTTTTCTTAACCAACACCAAGCGAATTGAATTTTATTCTGACTTCACAATACCTATCCAGCCAGTAATTTGGTTAATTCAGAGAAAGTCTTTAATTCCTTTCCTATTATTGTCGCCTGGTGAAAGCAATTCATTTCTATTCATTGGTTTTTGTCTAGACGTTAGGGTGACCACACGCAGTTGTTTTGATCGCTACTAGGATAGGAAGCTAAGCTGAAACCTAACCTACGACACCACCACTAAGTATTCTAGTTTCAGATGACCATAGTTCCCAGTTCAGTCGTCCATTTTTGGATGTGCGCTAGTCAAGGTTGATGGACGAGTCGCATCTGACTTCAAAATAGAAGAGCCCAGCAGTCCACTGATTTTGTGCTCTTGCGAAGCAGTTTGCCTGCTAGATCGTCTGGAGAGTGGTACTGCGAAGATCTCGCGCCATTGCATCTCCGCCATATTGATCAGCCTCCGCGCCGAAATAACACTCGCTCTGCCTCTCGCTCAGGCTGGAGGGGCGTCACCCCAAGCGCACACGCCCAAACGGCACGCCATAATATTGCGAATTCGGGAGCAGGAGGAGGCGAGAGGAGAGGAGATGCGAGGTTAGTCCGGGCTGGACAAGGCGATGCGAGGAGGAAGCGCCCTGTGTGTGCACGCGTGTGTGCGCGTGGGTGGGTGGATGGGTAGGTGTTCATGATAGACAAAGACAAGGCGAACAAGAACTCTGAACGCGGCGCGCACCTGCCTGACTGTGTGCGCAGGCTCTCGTCGTACGCGTGTGACGAGTGGACGTGCGCACGCGTTCACGAGATATTGCGAGGCGTTGCCCGTGCGTGCGGGTAGGGACAACTCTCCTCCGCTCCATCCCCAACCCCCACCGCTCCCATCTCACAGGCCAACATTGTGCACTACTGTTGGCGGTTAATTGGGAAGGTGGTGGCGGGGACGGTGGGTGGAGTAGGGGAGGGAGAGCAGAGATGAACGGAAAAAGGGAGCGCGAGATTGTAATCAAGGGAACATGTGCAGGCACATCGTTATCATTAGAGAATGCCATGACAACCCTGTTGTGACTTGAATCTCCCTCTCTCGCTCCCTCTCCTCTCGGAGGCACGCCCAAATGCCAGTTGGGTTTGGCTTTCGCAAGGTGAGTGGATCGCACTAAGCTCGTTTGAGACTAGCCCATGAACTTAAACTCGTAAAATTCAATAGATGTGTAAAGAAAGGGGCTAGTGTCGCCTATGCTTATTTTGTAGCCCATATTTGTCCCCTTGATCCGTTGATAAATTTGCATGAGATAGAAAATGAAATCGGGAAATGTGATAATTCAAAATAGTGTGCTGCCAGATCTAGGTGTGAGTCAATTTGCTCTTTGAAAATATCACTATCTCCCAGAACCAATAGGCATTTATTTCATTTCCGAAGACCATCTGAGCACCTCATTGTTATGCTCTGGTACTAGCCGGCCGTCCTGTTCGAGTTCTGTATTTGCTCGTGCCTGCACAAGAGGGCACAGAGACAGGCTTAAGCATTTCCGCACTTCAGTACAAAGTCCAATTTTTCTTCACGCGAGAGATGGTATTGAACGTATGAACAGTCGCACTAAAAGTGCTCAATGGTGAAAAGATTGTTTTTTTTTGCTCAAAGCCTCCCTCTTACAGCATGATCTCAGCCTAGGTTTGTCTACATCAGTAGAACTTAAGAATCCGCCTACAGTTGAGGGGAGGGGCAGTGATGTATCCTCTCCTTACTCAACTTCAAGATGCTTCATCCTCTTCAACTTACTACTAATGTGCTTAGATCGTGATTACTCATAGTTAGAAGTCGGGATGCGTGGATCATTCCTACTCAACTGCCAAAGTCTATGAACAAACCACAGCATATCATAAGACTTATATGACAGTTCGAAGTCATTGCTCGACTGGTAAGCGACGGATTTGACACACTTAATGCTACATTGTCTACCAATTCGACCACAAGTTTAGTCAAAAACCTTTCAAAGTACCAATAATAGTAGAAGTGGTAAAAAAGAAACTCTTCCACCTCCACCTTCCAACTACCAATTGAGAACCCATTGCCGGGAGTAAAAAATAAGCCCCATTTATTTCACCCTGGAGCAGATGTAAAACACTGAATTATACTGGTTTTTTTTTTGAAAAAATGAACCAGTAGGCTAAATGGTGGTAAAAAAGGGGCAAAAAGATTGAAATCACTGATTACTTTTGACTCTCTCAGTGTCAAGCATATAGTGGCAGTTCATATTAAACAAATGAACGAATAAACTATAACGTTGTCAAGCTGCAACTCACTTCAGGCGCTGATGGCCTTAGGTATAACAGAATTAATAATGATTTTTTTGGCTTTCTGGGGAGCGTAGTCATGATAAAATCACAAAAACGAGAAAACAAAATTGCTTGTACTCTGAGTTCCATAAACTTAATCAGAAATACAACCTTATATTGACGTTGGCAATTCCTAAAGCGATTTTGATTATAACCATCATATTTACGGGTACACGTAAACACATTTGGAAAATGAACACCAAATTACTAGATCATGCCGCATGGACGGGAAAATTCTGTTATTCGGTGGATCAGAAGAGTGAGGCAACGAGAATGGGGATTGGTTGGACTATGATACAAGCATTACCTTGCTAGACTAGCAGCCCATGCGTCTGGATATGCATCCGGTGTTATTTGTGGCAAGTTGTAATCAAATGGCTTCAATGAAAACTCCATTTAAAAAGAGATAAGTCATATTAGAGCTTAGTAAAACTAAAAAAAATTGGCAGCTAGAACACCAAACGTAGGAATGCGATCGAATTTGGAGTACTTCATGCAGGACCCTGGATTTCCGCATCACTTTAAAGCATTCGCAACCAGGTTACGCCCTTGGACGTATCGAATGCAATCAATAGGGGTTCTCCAACTCAAAACTGATGATTAAAAAAGCCATATCACGCTTGAAATCGGGAGCGTAACATCGGGTCATGTCAGTGGACTTGGTCGGGATGTGGGATGGTCTTATAGTCTAAGGTCAACCTAAGTGCATTTGATGTCTGAGTCATAGGTGGATTTGAGTAGATGGGTTGGTGTCGCAATGAGCAACAAAAAGGATTCGTGTTAATGGGACGGTTAGTTAAGCAGCTGACTCCACACCGATTTGCTAAATGCTTTTGCAATCTTCTTGTCGAAGGTCATGTGGGCTTTTGTATAGTCTCCTCAGTTGACTCCCAAGATTGTTCGAATGCTACGCAAATAGCCAAGCGATTAGCCATAACATTAGCCACAGGGCGCCTATTAACAAAATACCCTTCCGTTGTGGATGTCTGCACCATTATTGCGGGGTGCAGCGTTGACTAGATTTAGGCTCGCATTGAGGATGGAAATGGGCTAGAGGGTCCTGGTGTGGAGGTCTAAAGAGGGAGCGGAGATGAGTCACGTCGCGCGAGTCAGATAGATGGGGCTAGGATTATCGAGCGTGTCCTCACGCCCCGGAAGGAGGAGGGCAAGAATGACACGCACGTGGTGTGGGTGCATGCAGCTCGAAGCTCACTCATCCGTTGACTGTTCTCTCTCCCGCCTTCCCCACCTCCCAGTGGCGACGACGACGGCGGTTACCAGACGAGACTTTCATCCCAGTGTTTGATATTTGCCATCGGCAACTTTCTATCAAATCTCATCTCAATAGCTATGCAGGATTGAGTGTTGGTGAAGCTACAATGCTAAATTTGTTTACTACTAATTGGGGTTTAAACTCTTGGAGGTTAACCGATTGTAACGGTTCGGATAAAGCTTACAAGTCGCTTATGCGTGGCACCGATACTAGTTCGAGTATCGATTCGATTCTAAAACGCATGCAAGGTCTCATATTTTAACAGATTCTGCAAGAAACGAAACTTGCCAATTTTCCTCCTGGACCGGTGACTTCAGTCAAGTCCTTAGTGCAACCCTTCAATGAACAAGAAGTCCAGATTAGCTTTTCGTTTGTTTCGCTTGTGGGCAATTGTGTTTCACATTGAATTGTGTGTTGAGTAGCCTTCTCTGTTTGCACCTTCAACATTCACGGTAATGGGCTTTCGAAAGTCCGATATTCCTTTCCCTAACATTTCAAGTAAGAGGCAGTACTGAAATTGCCTTCTCTTTGTCTCGCCCCAAATGTTTATGTTGTTATTGGTGATGTGCATGAGGTACCTCTCTCTGCGACCATTACCGCTGCCGCCACCGCCACCGCCACTGCTACTACTGCTAAGTATGCGACGACGAAGAGAGAGAGGAACTGGGGGTGATGAATCATGGGAGTTCTTTGTTCACATGCGAGTGACTCATGAAGTGGCCGATGTGTGTGTGTTTTGTACGCAAGCGTCCGTCCGAGCCACACGAGAAGAGGTACGGCGAGAGAGAGCGAACGACAGTGCGAGACCGGTGTGGCCGTTGTCTGGTGCCCCAATTCAAAGAAGCTAAATAGGCGGGTCGAATACAGATCGTTATGGCGCATTTGGAAGAGGAGGCCACTTATCCACATGCATCACCTGTAGGGATTTGGCAGTGAGTTGAAACGGAAAATGAAGGCCAGTCTCTTGTCGGCTTCCCTACTCATTAGTTAATCATATGGACAAAGTGATAAGTATGGGGTTAATCGATTAAGACCACGAAGCTTCCATTGGCATTACTTTTATTAGTGTTTTGTAAAAATTGTAGATCTCCTTTGGGTAATGTACTTAAGACAGCGACCTTACTCATCATCGCCTATGGTCACATTCACTCACTTTATCAGGCAATGCGTGTCAACGTGAGACAGGATCTGTAGGCCAATCTTTGTAAGCTGATTTATGGCTCCGAGTTGTTAAGTCAGCTAATCCGAGAGCTGACGCGCTCACACACGCCTAGCCATATGCTTCACCTCATATGGCCTGTCTAGCAGTTCGAGTGAGAAGTCACGGTGAGTGCAAATAAGTCCCCGGCCATGACTCAGTAGCATTTCATTACTGTAAGAATGCGTGCATCAACGGTCGGTCATTTGGAATTCTGTACAAAAATTAATTACCCAAAGTGGTATCCACTTGTCCCCTTCTCCCATCTCCCTTCCCTTAAAAGCCTCAAAGACAATCATTTGGTAAAAATCGCATTAGTGGAGAGCGTCGCTATGTGATGTGCATTTGCAGGAATACCTTCTCATCACTAAAAGGTTTTCAAGGACAATGAAACTTGTTACGATCATTATCAAACCTAGGAATTCGTTAATGCTTTTACCTATCTGTCGAGATATGCAACTCTTAGAGATATCAGGTTATCTAAAAAACGTCAATTGTGACAACTATTGTACGCATCGATGTCCTGATCAAAGTTGTGTCGTTAGTGCACATTCAAGACGTAATTAAGGTGTTTAAGATCAGTTGATATGGCTCTAAACAGTGTTTCTCGAGACAAATAGTATAGACTCCCAAGTGATGGAGGAGTCGAAACCACCTTGAACGTAATCACTTTTCATTTATTGCGGCCCATTAGTATAGCCCCATTGATGTGACCCGAACAAACCAGCCGATCGATAAGCGTCTGCGCTTACCCCGTGATGAGTCATGCCGCAGGGGGAGGCAAAGGATTGTGGTCATCCTCGGAACGCCGATCCTATCATGTTCCTCGCTGTTCTGATCACAGAAATAGCCAAAATAAATAAGATTTGATGGGACAAAGTGGGGTTCGATTTACATTCTTCCAGGGAGGGAGATTACATTTTATCCAATTCGTTGGTATTGCAGTCGTTAAGCTATCGCCTAAAGCATCAAGAAGAGTTTGCAACTAAGGTTGTTTAAGTATATGGGAAAACAGGTGTACCACATCCCTTCATTCCGAATAGCGAAGGATGATTGGTTAGATGACAGATGAGTGATCAGAGAAGCACGGGTTTTATGCCTTTCATTCGGCTTATTCTGTCAACATTTTGCCATCAGTGCCTTATGATACCATGATTTTATATTCTAAGTGCCTAAAACTGATTGTTGTACCTCGCCGTAAGATTGGTGAGTCGCCTAGATACGAGTTAAGTACCCATATTGTCAAGGCAATCAAGTCAGTTCCAAATCCCCATTGATCTCGTTACCACTGGTACTAGTGAATTGAGGTGGTTCACAGAGAATTATTTGAACTATGGGGACTTCAGCGACCACAATGTCAGGGCAGGCTGCGATCACGACAGACATGGCTTAAGAAAGTTTCTCCTCGAGCATTCCTGACGTACATACTGAGGTAAACGAGATAGCAAACAATAAATTCAAAGTAGGGAAAAATATTTCAAAATGTAATATACTGCCCAGGAGCGTTCTCATTGTGATTAGGGCGGCGCTTTGGGCAACGTTAACCCGCCTCTTTGATCAGCCATTTCAATCACCACAGAACGAAATTAATGCTAATTAATCCTACACCAGTCTTAAATGCTCACCTTTTTGTTCACCAATTGCAACTGCTGGTATTGTGACTCCTTGAGAAAGCTAAATTTAATGCTCCTCCAACTTGGTGACCCAATGTTTGGATTATTTAAGTGTTACCGCACTAGACCCTCTGCAGTGTTGAAGAAACTTGGCGACGTAAAGTGGTCGACAGTGAGCAAAGGTGAAGTCCAAGCCGGTAGTTAAACACTCCAATACATGTATCCTAGTTAAAGACAAGAGACCCATGACTCTGTTTAGCGACATTCGATCAGGTCGTCACTTGAGTTCCAACTGAAGTGAATGTGAACGTTCACAACCTCTCACAAATGGAGGAAGTGCAGATATCTGTTCTCATGAGGAGTAGACTGCCAGTCACATTTGCGTAGCTAGTAAAAAGTCCTGCACGGGAAACCCGTTGCCCTGAGCCAAGCCCATATTAAGAATCCTCTTGCTCAAAACACTCGCATGTCACCTGCGCGTCAAGGCATGCTGCTGATCGAACCACCCAACATTGCCTTAAGTAAACGAACGAATCCACCTCAAAAGGCCCAGGCTTTGGATTGATGATTACATTTAATAGCGGAACAAGGAGGGGAGTAGGGTGGGGCAACGAAAGTACAGCTATTTAAAGGGTCGGATAAGAGCGACCAAGAATGAAGGCATCAACGAGACGATGCCTTTAGGAATGGTAAACGTTAAAGCAATACAAGTAGGTGAAGTGATGGGAAGAGGGAAGGGGACCTTGTCAATGGGCTTACTAAGAACAAGTTAAAAACACGCATACGGCTATCAAAACAGTTGATGGTCAAAAATAGGTATGATGTCGACTTAGCTGAAATGCCTATTGATATGGACGGCAGTCAGGTGCTTCTACCAAGTGCCCTGAGCACTCCATGCTGGGGAGGACCTTCTTATTCTTCTTCTTCATTGGAAAAATAAAAGGGAGAGGAGGAATTAGTAAATGCGCATTTCTGCTAACACAGTAGCAGAGACGGGAGAGGTGATAGAATGCAAAAGTCCCGTAATGTACATGTGTATAAAATACATAAATCATTGTTTGTATCCAAATAGAACACAGCCCAGAGTAGTGCGGTTGTGAGTGTGGCAAGGAAGGGGAAGGGAGACACCGGTCAGTATTCGGGAGACCCAACACCGCCCCAACGCTGCCGCAGCGCCTCAGCTAACAGATGGACGGAAATTGATTCTGAGCACATTGAGGAAAAGTAATGCGTGCACGCACAACACGGAATGCAAGAGAGCGGCGCCTTTTCGACAGGAATGTATCCAGTGGTTGAAACGCGACTGCACCAAGCTAAGTGACATTACCCGTATCACTGGCGGAGCTCCCACCGTTAGCTTGCCTCTTGACCAAATCAAGGAGTTTGTCCAATGCCGCTTGTCGCCTTTGACAGGCCCTGCGTAGCTGTTCAGCAGCGTCTGACATCATATCAGCCACACGAAACTGAGCGTCATCCTCTGCACGTAAACTTTCGATTATTTCCGTGATTTCACAACTATTGGGAGCAAATCGCTCTAGGAGGCTAAGGGGTATGTTAGGGAATAGACCTAAGAGGGGATTGGCATTGGTACTGTTTGCTGAGATTGTGTTGTTGCCGTTGTTACTATTCGCACTTGGGCATTCTGATTCGTTCACCTGCGGAGTCAAGCCTGCCATACTATTTATTAGGTTAGTGGTGATAACGGAGAGGGCATTTAGGTCGCTACAGGGCGAGTTTGAGAGCGCCTGCTGGAGAATGCTAAAGGTATTGGAAGAGCCATTCTGGGTGGCTGAGAGGTCATGAACCTGATCCTGAGACTTGGAATCCATCTGATTTTTCAATTGTTGTTGTTTAACCAGGTCGGAAAATAACTGAGACTGAAAAAACAGGGCTGCAGCCGTCTGATTGAAGGGCAATTGGAAGTGACCAGTCGAGTCCGGTTCGGAATGGGGACACTGATTAAACATACTCTGCATTTTATCACCATTAGAAAGCGAGTCGACGAAGAGAGCTGTAGCTGGAACGTTTCCCGATTTAGCAGCGCTGCAAAAGCTCTTCTCAACACTGCTAGGAGTGGAATGGACATTAACTGGACCAGCCCCAGCATAGAGGGAATTATTGGGGCGAGGGGGAGTACCATTGCTTAATTTGCCATGGGGAGAATTAAAGCCACTATAATGGACATCAACGGTAGTAGTTTTATTAGCACAACCCTGACCTCCGGGGGTGGCGGGCAGCGATTTTATGCCGCTTCTGTCACAAACCTGCATTGTACTAGCATCAACGTTAGGATATATAACAAGGATGAGGCGAGCAACCTGACGAAGGATCGCAGCGTTTCTAACAACCTTCGAGGGATTATTGACTAAAAGACGAACATCACGCCGGAGATTCTTCCACTTATTGTAGCAGTGTTCGGTAGTAAAACCATAAGGTTCCATTTCGGCCCCAATTGCTTGCCAGACGGACTTGTGTTTCTTCTGAACGTTAAACTCATTAAGATGCTCCTCAACACGATTAAGTAACAGCTGTACATGACGTGTGGTCCAATGCACCTTTTTGTCGCCCATGTCAATGTTGGGTTTGGGACTGTCAAGGTTTGAAGCCAAGGGCTTTATACCCTCCATTTCGTCATCCTCCTCATCGGCCACCAACGTAACATCACTGGACAATTTATCAATAGGAGATTCAGCAGACTGAGGATTTTCATGAGGCTCAGATTGAGTATAGCCAGGGAGTTGCTCTTCATCATAGTCTGCATCCTCCGGGAAGCTGGGGCTGGACTTCTCAGAGGTCTTACATGGAAACTCATCCATAGCTAATTCAAATCAAAACATTTACGAAACTAAAAATATAAAGTAACATCTCACAAGAAGAGCAAACAAAAGGCAAGCAGAACAAAACAAATAAACACACCAAAGGACTCACAACGCAACAGTCTCGAATAGAGATCTATTTTATGAACGTCCTTCAGGGAATATTGTACACAGTCCACTTAAACAATCGGTTTGTGTAAGAATTTAATAACGTAAAAACATTAGAAACGTAAAACATCAAACAGCATATTAATTAAAAATTTTCGTATTATAATTACAATAAGTGGATCAAATTGTTTGATCTATTAAAAAAATAAATATTTAAATAAGATTATCATAAGTTCTATCACGCACGCCAAATTACCGGCTAAAAGTTAAGGCTATAAAAAAGGCAGATCAGAATGCTTACCATTTATCAGGGATTTAGAGGGTAGACTTGCATAATTCTCCCATGTCTGATTTGGCCAAGCCATGTTTCTGGTTCGGAGGGTATGTTAATCTAAGAGCGGCATAGAATTGGATACGATTTGCAACAAGAGCCTACAAGCTTTGGCTTTATTTGGGCACCAACAGGCGTAGCTTCCTCTCGATACCTATTCACTATTCCTATCCCAAATTATTTCGCTAAGGCCTTTTATGAACCTATGACCACAGCTCGCAAAGTTTTTGCTAAGGTCGTAATATACTCCGTCGCATTTACCACTCGGAATCTATTACTCATCTTGTGAATTGCAGAAATACTTGTACACCATGGTCTCTCTGCAAGTAGTATAATGTGTTTTCGGGTCAGCTACTTACGTTTCTACTAAGCCTGGAAATGGAGGAGTCGGTTGATGAAGAAGAGAAGAGGGATGAACAAGTTAGTTGGTTCTCGTTTTCACTGTGTAGGGCTTCGATGAACAAAATAATGATATAGACTTTATCTATAATGATGCGGATGAATATGGTGTTGAAATATCTGGTATGTACTCAGGTTCGTCCTAATCTGATACCTTAGAGCTCTACAGTTACTCAGAGGAGAATGAGTTCATGGAGAACGTTCAGGCATTCACAGAAACGTTTCAAAGTGAGCATAAATTTTACTTCGTTCTTGTACCAACTTGATGTTCTTGTGTTGTCAATAATTTATGTCCATATTCAGGTGTCGGCAAGTGGGTTGATGTTGACGATAAGACTCGCCGAGGTTATGTGAACAAATTGCTTGATATCCTTGAATCGTCAGATAAGGACAATCGCATTAAAGCAGCTCGTTCACTTCTCTACCTACTTCAAGGTGTGTTTAAGGAGTGTGATCTTGAGGAAGACCAAATAACCTGGGCTCGAAGAAACGTTTATCTTTGCATCGAGTGTGGAGTTTTATCTTCGGTACTGTCACTGCTTTTGTTGGAGATTCGATACGAGTTAGTCCAAGACTCCTTGTCCCTCTTACTTATGCTCACCTTTGCTCACATAATGACTGTTCATTCTCAGAAATTGGGCAAGGAATTTGAGCTCGGCAACACCTGATTCAGATGCTAATGGCGATGTATCCAAGAAACAGTCAGTCACATTGCTAAACAGCACGAATATTCGCATAGTTCTGTCGATAATTTACACCATCGTTGAGACTGTTCGCGACGGATGTCAATCAGCAAACGCTAATAGATCCGTTGCCGCCTCAACAGCTGCGATGGCGAAGCCCCCACTCTTCTCCTCAGTTGACCATACAGCCAAGCTACGAGACCAGCTCATTGAGGAGTTGGGTAGGCTTGCGTAGTCTATTGACCTTGAATCAATGGTTTGCAGGTTCACCCATAAACAATGGTAGTTGTTTAGCAATTGTCCTTTTTGGAATGGTACACCGATTTTGTAGCGGACTTGCTCCTCATTTTCCTATGAAGAAAACGATTCTCCTCCTCTGGAAAACAATTTTGGTATGTTTCCTTTTCCATCTTTACTGATTTTGCTCCTCTCTAGCTCACTTTGGGTCCGCTCTCAAGTCTCTTTGAGAGAAAAAATCGTGATCGTTGTTTGGCCAACCTACCCGAGCTTCATGAGGACACTCATATGGTTATCCGTCGGATCCGAGCTAATAGCCCACCAGCAAATCCCGCAGACAGTCTCCTTAATCGACCTGTACGTCCCAACAATCGTCATTCTGCGATTGGACAGGGGACTCAAGGTCCCCATCAGGGGAGTCTAGCCGGTGGCCGCTTGGCTGTACAGCAACAAATAGCTCAGCAGCAGCTGCAGCAACAATTGAATCAGCGCCAAATGCAACGGCGGTGGAACATTACGTTTAATCTCCCTAACTCCGACAACGGTGGTGTTGGTGGTGGTGAGTCAATAGAAGAAAATGCGTCCCTTGGTAGCTCCACTCCGCGACCCGGTTCGCCGGTGAAAAGTGCAGACGGGAATGATTCGACGTTGACAAATATAAATCCAAAGTTCTCACACTCTATTCTCTCCCAGCAGCTCATTACGGGTATCATGAACTCCCTTGCCGATGTGAAAGTTTTGCCCTGGAGGCCGAAGGTTCGTACCAGCGATATTGAGGTAAGGAGTGGGGTCATTTTTTTCTTCTGAAGTTCTGAAATCGAACTTAAGAGGGTCGATGTGTTTCCTTAGAATTTTCTGGACAGTGCCAGACAAAAGTTTATTGGGTTCCGAGTAGCAAACGATACCACTACGTTGTATGGACTGCCAGAACCGATTCATGAAGCTGTTAAGGTGCTGAAGAAGTACCATTATATGTCGCTCGGTGAGGTTCAAATCAAAAGGGAGGCGGATTTCGCCAAGTATCCCCTTCTCCTTGTAGGTTTTTTTGAGTTTATTTTTTATTAAACGTTGATTGATTTGAGGTGCTGCTATTGCTATTTTGTCGCCAACTGTTGATTTGAAAGATCAAGTTGATCGGACAGGTTGGCTTTTTTATTGTTTT